TTCACAAGAAGGGTGATAAAATCGAATGTAATAATTATTGTGGGATATCACTGCTATCAAATTCATACAAAATTTCATCCTATATTCTACTCTCAAGGTTAAGTCCACATATAGATGAAATCATTGGGGATCATCAGTGTGGGTTTAGACAGAACAGATCAACTACAGATCAGATCTTTTGCATTCATCAGATACTGAAGAAAAATTGGAGTACAATGAGACAGTACATCAGCTATTCGTACGCATCAAGAAAGCCTATGATTCAGTTAGGAGGGAAGTATTGTACAATATTCTCATAGAATTTGGGGTACCCATGAAACTAGTTAGGGTGATTAAAATGTGTTTAAACAAAAAGCATAGTAGTAAAGTCCACATAGGTAAATTTTCATATCCAGAACAGTCTAAAACAAGGAGATGCTTTATCACCACTGATTTTCAACTTGTAACTTGTAACTGAAATTAAATGAGACACATCAGCTGCTGGTCTATGCTGATGATGTGAATCTACTGGATGATAATATAATGGATCTTAGAGCAATGGGATTGGGTGGTATGGACTGGACTGATCTGGCTCAGGACAGGGACCAGTAAAGGGCTCTTGTGAACACAGTAATGAAACTTCAGGTTCCATAAAATCCTGGGAAGTTCTTGAGTAGCTGTGCAATCGGTGGTACTCAGAAGGGCTCTGCTACATGAGTGAGTTCATGTGTTACATTTGGATAAATATAAAATTCTGCTGAGAGCATAAAAAATTAATGTGGTGAGCAAGCAGTCATCAGAAGACCACAGACATGACTGAGAAACCAAGCAAGCAAAGACATACATGAGAGAAGAGGAAAACAGTGAGCAAAGATATAGGAGTAATTAACCCTTTAAAGACTGAATTTCTTGTAAATGATATATAAGAATTCAGGTCATGCGTCACAGGAAACACATTACGTCTGCTACAAAGCCCAACTGGTTAATGCTGTTTAGGGAAACAGTCACTTTTTATTGTGAGAACCATACGGAACACATAGATACACTCTGTTGGCAGAATGCAGGATTTCAGTATGTTAACCGTTCAGCGTGGTTTGACGTGTATGTTTCGTCCAGCTGCACACCTATGTTATAACGCCCATAATAATTGATGGATTTGCTGTAGATTGTTAGATTTTTCACTGGCCTGTTGTCAGGAGTACCGTATTGAATGACACACAAGTTTAGCTGCGCTAATTCATCGTTATATATGCCTGTCTTGCAGCAAAGTTCCTGTTGCTCTTGGGAGAGGTTTAGTCGGTCCAACTGTTATGGATGGCGTGTTTTCTTTCCTATGAAGTTATAAACAGCAGAGACGTGATATGTGCTGTGTTTATAATATCATATTGCCCTGAGCTGGCCACACTAACACACTCAATTGGAATTCTTAGAAGAGGGATGTCCAAAAATTTATTCTTGCATGATCGATTGATTTCGCACAGTATATAGCACCCAGTTCTTAGAAAAACGTCACGAATTAAGGCAGAACACTGTGGTCACCCCCTGAGACGATACGGATGTGTGTGGGGGAGGGAAAAGAACTCATTCCTTCATGTATTATCGCTCCAGTTGACGCCATTTTATCGTACTGACCTTGGTGGTCGTTTCGAGGGATGACCATAAATATTTTTTTTGAGCCAGCTAAGCTCTGCTTTCGTGCACTACATACCAGCCAGTTCTTAGAATAACTTCATGAATTCTGTGGTCACCCCTACGACATCTACTGCCGCCAAAATGGATGGAATATCAAAGGCATAGCAACAACCCCTTGTTATGATAACTCGTAACGTTGAATTTACTACAGCTGACCTGGCAACTAAACAGCTCACGGAAAGACATTTCCTTGAACGTATACCCCTAACGGGGAAGAAGGCAAAGCCGCACAGAAGATGTGTGGTTAAAAAAAGCGCCAAAGAAAAGATACACAATATTGGAGCAGTGAATGTGGGGCAGCATTGTGTTAGAAGAATGCTTCAAGGCCTACCTTACAGTGCTCAAATTCTAAACACCTGCTTCCATTGCCAAGATACAGGGTGCTCATATTATAAGGTAAGGTTATAAAAACCATCTTTTAAGATCATTTTAGTGAAAGTTTCATGCTTCAAGGCGTACCATTCACTGCTCAAATACGAAACAACCTGCTTCCATTGCCGAGATACAGGGCGCTCATATTATAAGGTAAGGTTATAAAACCACCTTTTAAGATCATTTTAGTGAAAGTTTCATGTTCCTATCTCATATAATTTAAGAACAATGATGAATAAATCATTTTCGAGCAAAATTTAAATGGACGGCTGAATATATTACCGCCGGAGAGACGGCCGCGGAATTTAAATGACCGCGCAGAAGGGTTAATGCAGGTGGTATATACAGTAACCACTGGGCTTTTAAAGGTTAAGGAAGGGCAGAAAACAGTTCAGAAGGGATTACCATGAGAAAATTCACCATGGTGGAAACGTCAATGGATGACATACACCAGAAAAACAAACATGGTGGTTATCCCTCCGACAAACTGTGAGTAAAGGTATGGAATGGCAATAGCTTCACTGATCACCTGATTAATTAATGATATACAGTAAAACCTGCCTTAAACAGACCCTCTATTAAACGGAAATCTGTCCTAAACGGAAATATTTTCAGGTCCCTTGACATTGGGGCTGAAAAAGATGTTAAATAACCTGGATTAAACAGAAACTGACTAACGTGGACAAAGGAAATCAAAATAAGCTTTTACACGGAAAATTTCCAGTCTTCCAGAATGCATCGTTTAGAATTATGTTAGGCATCCTATACATTCTACAGAATTTTGTTTTCCCTAACTCTTTAAAATAAGCTTCTAATGGTACTGCACTACCTGCACTGAGATTCAGCAGAATTGTTTTCCCCTTCTGGAAATTGTATTCAGTAAGGGCTCTGGGCCTACAGTTTTACTTTAGTCTAGCAGTTGTCATCATGGCTACAAAGACAAGAGTTGTGCTTGATCTTAACACAAGATTAAAAGTGATTCATGCGAGTGGGCGAGATAAATTGTCTGTTAAGCAGATCATGGAGATGTTTAACGTCGGTAAAACTCAAGTGTATTAGATTCTAAAGAAGAAAGCGGAAATTTTGAAGCGGTGGGAAACTTGTGCTAATGGAAAAATAAAAAGTGAACTTAAGAAAACTGCAAACGAAGACATTAATGAAATAGTGTGGGAGTGGTTTGTCAGTGTGAGGGCGAAAAATCACCGGTTGTCAGGTCCTATGGTACCGGAATATGCTAAAAAAGTTGCTGAAAAACTGGGGAAGACTGAATTCAAAGCATCTAATGGATGGTTGGAGAGTTTTCACAAAAGACATCGGATAGTTTTAATGAACTTTGTGGTGAATTAAGTGATGTAAATAGTGAGACCATTGAGAAATGGGAAGCTAAACTGCCATCCATAATCGAGGGATATGAACCTGAAAACATAGCGAACAGTGATGAGACTGGACTGTTCTTCTACGTGCTTCCGAATAAATCGCTATGTCTGAAAGGTGAAAAATGTTTGGGAGGAAAACTGTGCAAAGAAAGATTGACTGTTTTTCTATGTGGTTTTATGTCAGGTGAAATGGAGAAAACCTTAGTGATTGGCAAGGCAGCAAAGCCACGATGCTTCTGAAACATGGACATACAGAAACTTCCCTTGAGTGGAGATCCAACAAAAAGGCATGGATGACGTCACAGATCATGGAGGAATGGTTAACGGCCTTCAATGGTAGAATGAAAATGCAAAACTGGCATGTTTTGTTGTTCTTGGATAACGCAACATGCCACCCCCATATGGAACTTTCCAACATGCGACTTGCTTGGTTCCCTCCGAACACCACTAGTGTTTCTCAACCAATGCATCAGGGCATCATTCGGAATGTTAAGGTCCACTATCGTAAATTATTAATGCAATCTTTGCTCGTCAATATAGATTCTACATCATCCGCCTCTGAACTTGCAAGAACGGAATGATTCAGACATGCTTACTCTAATTACTCAAGCTAAAGTGTTTGTGGAAAATCAGGCAGCCAACAGAGTAAAGTGTGTGCAAAAACTCTGCCGGAGTTCTGGTAAAATTATAAAAAGTGAGTACTGCAATTTTTTTCTGTTCAGTGTAATGTTTGCATGTGTTCAATGATTATAGTGTGAATAAATTAATGCGCATGTTGTTTTGTTTTGTCTCAAATACGTTTATGTCCTGGTTTAGTTATTATAGTATACCTTGATTAAACAGAAACCTGGCTTCCGCGGAAATTTTTTCTGGTTCCCTGAGATTCCGTTTAAGACAGGTTTTACTGTAATTATTAATGTATGATGTGCTACATTGCATCATATCAGATCAGATCTGAGTATGAAAAGTTAAAAGTTTATGGCCTAGTTAACAGTACCGTCAATAGCTCAGACTATATAGTGTTGAATAATAGGGTTAATAAACAACGAATTGGAAAAGAAGTAGAAGGAAATAGATGTAACCTAATTTGAGGTGAAACCATGAAAACCTCCGACAGGATACCTTGGACAGGCCAGGATTTGCACATGGGATCTCCAGGACATTAAGTGGGAATGCTACCCTCAACTACAGTGTCTGGTTGGAAGTGAAAAGCACATTCTGTAACGACGTGTACTATGGAGATGACATGATTTGTACTTTAGTTAACTAAATTATGCTCCCTCAACTGCACAGATTACGTAGCATCAAATGGAAGGATGATTATGAATGATGTGAAAGGAAAGAGTTATGATCTCTTTTAAGGAACTAACCCAGCATTTGCTTGGAGGAACTAAGAAAAACAATGAAAAAACCCTCTGGAGAGACAGCTTTGAACTCAGAAACAAACTGAGATCTCTCACATATAAAAAAGTGATGGGCTGGAAATTAAGCATGATGCAACATATCATACACAAACTCCATCACTTTCTTTCGTTCTCTGATACAATCTTCAGTAAATGGTTTTCAATAATTGAGCAGTACCTGCTTTGAAATTCTTTGGTGCACAGAGAATGGGTAATATGTTCAATGGAATCACAAAGGCAGTGTGTGTAGTCATAGGTAGGATAAATGCACCATTTGTCTCCTGTACGGTGATGTGGGAGGAATTTTATCCTATAAGCTACAGGGTCCTGTTTGCCCTCCTTTAATGTGATCTTCATCCTCAGTGTTGCTTCTCCTTCTTCTATTTTACCGTTCTTCATGTCCTGCAGGAAAAGAAATTAACAGTAATAATCTGTCATTTGTGGATACAGGCAAAGATGAGCCCTTAAAGCAACTCCTCAGCATAGTCTTCCTTAAGAGGTCATGGTTAGGCAAATGATCAAGGAATTCCCTGCTACTGTAGAACCTGAATGTCCAGTACCATGCTCACAAAAACCCCCCATTAGACCGTACATCAAAGTAGGTGAATTCAGTCCACGTGTTCATGCATTCACTCTCCTGAGGATCCATTTTATGATGACTGCTCACAAAGTAATAAGAAATGTGAATATAGAGCAATGAAGTATATTTATTTATGAAGGGCTGGAATGTGTGGTCCAAACCATTCCTTGTCCACATCTTACTTAATCCCATAATTCTTGGACTGTTTCTTCCTGGAACACTTAATAAAAATGTGAGTTCAAGGTGTTTTTCCCATTATGGATATTTCTGTTTTTACTGTGCATACCTGATCTAAAAAGTTTATGGTAGAAGATGAGGGAGGGGAGGGGAAGAAGGAAGGAGGATGATGAAGAAGACGATTTTGCAAATGAGAGCAATATCCCCCCAAAAAGTGAAGAGACAATTCTATATGATAAAACTTAATTTACTTCCACCTTAATATTAAAGAATGGAAATTCTCCTGCAACAGGAAGCAGATGATTAACAATTTAAACCATATGATAAGTAATCCTTGGGTGAAGTTCCATGATAATGTATTTCATGCATTCTTCCAACAGATGCATAAAATGAACATGGTACAACCGCTACAACATAGCAACAGCACCAACGCAGGGAGCAGCCTGTACATATACCTTTCATAAGAACTTAATATACGTAAGTATATATATAAAATAACCTAACGAGTTTAATAACGTTGTATTTTAGTGTCCTGTTGCACTGATTTTCATCCATGATCTGTATACAGTGGCCATCTTGTAGTGCACTCAATTTCACCTGTTACTTCACGACATGTTTCAGCAACATAGTGTCATCATCAGGTGCCTTAATTACGTTAATCTATTGCATTGCTTGCCCTCATGTCTTCACAACACCATTTAAAAAGTATTTAAAAAGTGCGTATTTGTCAACTACAACAAATTTACACTCACTAAAACTTGTTAAGATTATTCATCTTATGTGCCTTAATTAAAACTTGCGTGTGGTTCATTCACTATGGGGTCGTTTTTCTTATTTTCTGTGTAAACCGTGTCTTGTGATGTGTGTTCCCTTCTTAGCTGCAAGATTACACTCACAGGCTTCACCTTATAATAATAATAATAATTAAACTGTTACAGATCACGTACTGAATGAGCATATACTCCATAAGACATTACTAAGGTCATGACTACATGACCTATCCCATGTGAGAGTATTCCGTTATGTGGGTGCCCCACGCTATAGTCGCTTCTACCGGCATAAAACCAGGTCAACACATAGCGGCTGCAGAGTTCTATTACAAAAACACAATTTTAACTTTCATGTCTTAATCTTTAGTTTCTAATTTTAAAATTCTGACCAAGACTTAACATATGAATTTATGCAGTTAAATAATTTCAAGACACAATAAGGATCCTTATTTGAAGAATTAGATAATTAATTGCAATTCAACAGCGCAAACTGGAGCACTGTACCCCTGATGATGACCTGGTGTAAGGGCCGAAACATACTGCATCTGTAAAAACGTAATAAAAGCAAAAGTTGATACAGTAGTGCCTTCTTTGTTTTTAAATACAGAATACTGCTGTGTAGACTGCATACCTTATATACTTTTGTATATCTTATTTATGCTATGGGAAAATTATGTCCATGTCTCACCTCCACATCTACTGAATGAATTTAATTTCAGTTGATAATGATCCAACACCTATTTAAAATTAAACTCAACATTAATTTTCTTAAAAATAGCTCTTTATATAAAGGATTGGTACATGGCACAAAATATAGTGCTCATTAACATCTAAAACTTTCATTTTAAATGTTTTTGATATGATGGGTGTTTAATGCTCTACAAGGAAAAATAATTTATGACTTTGCGGAGATATATTTGCAACACAATTAACCTCACAACAGATTTATACCTGCAGTAAATAAAGTAGGCAAAAGCGGTATGCAAATCCTGTTGGCCTCCCATTACCCATGCCACATTGCCTGTGTATATGTGTCAGAATAAAAAGAGAGGAAGGGAGAAGATGGGGGGGGGGGCAATGGTGGAAACGGAGGAGGGGGAGGAGGGCTAGGGTATTCTTAAAAAATTTGTCATTTAATCACAGA